CCCAGCTTGGAATTTCACGCCGTGACGTTTCAAGCTATGAAGCGTCTAGAGATACACGTGGCAATTTCTTCCTTAGCAAGTTATGATGACTGGTTGTCGATACAGTACCATTATTGCATTGAGTTTCTCGGGTAGTGGAGCAGTCATATCGATCGTGTCAACAGTCGTGTCTCCTGTCCCTTAACGACACATGGCCATCGAGGGATAAACAACAACCGTTAGATCAGATTTTATTTCTCCCACACTTTTTGGGACCGTCAGATCATGTCTTTTTAGATTCGCTGTTGGATGGACTCGTTTCAAATTCAATGGCCGAGATTGGGTGTCTTCTGGGTTTCCTCGAGACCTTGGGCTTCTTTTGCTTACATATATTATTCTCATAACGATTTTTTCTTTTTGGACATCTATTCACAAAAACTACCGTTACTCTGTCATATTTTTTCCAGAGCCTCTTCTTCTCTAGCTCCGGTCTTTGCGAGCCTTCATCGTTCTTCTTCTTCGTCATCTTCGTGCTCTCAGGCTTTATATTCTAAGAACCGGTGAGTTGCTCTGACCTTTCTTTTTCTTCTTTTCTCATAATATGGTTTTGAGCTTTTGTTCATGCAAGAATATCATTAGGAAAAAACAATATAAACTTAGAATGAACTTACCTGGATTGTATCATTTTTCATGGGTTTGAGTTAAAATTTCTCATTTTGGCATTTTCCTGGGTTTGGTTGCTCGTTTTAGGGCCTATTAACCCATTTTTGGGTTTTAAAACCCTTTGCTGGGTTTTAAGTATGCTTTCTGGGCATTGGACTTATTTTTGGGTTTTATTTCAAGTCTGGTATTGGCAATACTGGATTTTTAGGTCTTTTTGATCTAAGACACCCTTCTTTCCCTGTCAAACATTGTTTGTGACCTCTCGCCACTATTTCTACCTGTAGATTTTTCCCGACCTCTCGATAACTAGGGCCTTAATTTGACCCTTTTTTATATTGCCAGAGAATGCCGCCAAAGAGAGTTAGAGGTTAAGAGGTCTCCCCATCTAGGGTCAGAAAAGACCCTGAAGAAGCTACGTCGTCGAGCGCGGCTTCCCTTAATAATGGGGATTCTCTCCTCCGCCAAGTAGAGGAATACATTGAGGGGTCTACCTTGACTTCTCAATCACATGAGATGATTTTGATCGACAATGAGGACAATAATTTGAGGGCCGATACCTCCACTTATCGTGGTTATGGGGTGACGTCGACCAGTGGCCTATATGGTATAGTGACCGATGTCAACCCGTTAAAGATCAGACCAAAGGTCGCCACGGAAGCGTTCCGCGCCACAAATATCGACGCTCATTATCCTGACGCTTAGTGATAAAGCTAACAATCCACCTACTAAGCATATTACTGTATATACCAGATATCTCACTTTCGGCCAAACCTTCCCCTTTCACCCCTTCGTGAAGGCCCTCTGTGGCCTTCACAGGATTTCTCTGGCTCAGTTGTCACCTAATTATTGGGTGACAATTAAGTCTATGATTATATTGTGGAGAAAATTCTTGAACTTTGACATAATCGTCGAGGACTTTTTATATTGCTATGCCCTTTGGGTTCTTCGATTGCCATTCTCTTGTGGACGAGAGGGTATTTCCCTGTTAAGCATTGTTGGGGCTGCAGCTCTCTTTGGGGCTCTCTTCCTGGCCGTTTGTTGTCTGCTCCCGGCAGACTTGTTGGATTTGGTTGGACGAGGGTTATTTTTGGCCCTGCTATCACCAACTCCCTCAGCATCACCGCGTTGGTCACCATTCTGGTTCTCGGTTGCGGCGTTTGCTGGGTTCATCAGCTCATCTTCCAGCAATAACATTGAATTTGGCCTCTGATCGCGTCTAACGATGGCCGTTGCCATTCTCTCTACCGTTGCGGTAAGGGTCTCGACCTGCTTCTGAAGCAAATCAATGCGATCTTGGGAGTCCCCATTTGCTGTCACGTTTGCCCTGTGATTAGGTTGGTCTTCCAACCATACATGGTTGCCATTTGGTGGATTCGGTTGATTCCTTCCTTTAACAGTAGGATTCTGGCCTTCCTGACTTTTCTGGTTAGCCGTCATACTACGAGTTCTTCTCGGAGGTATGTTTGTTGTTGATCCTGGATTTAAAATAGATCTTTCAACCCATATACCCTTTGTCTTTAAAAGTTCTCCTCGGCCTGGGGACATTTAATGAACCACCACTTCTCGACGTTAGTGATCAGTCCCCATTAACGGAACTCTCAACGCATACAAAACAAAAAAATGGTACGATTGCTCAACTATGGTGTAACACTATACTAGTTGTATATGAAGTGTTTATTCGCTTGTTTTAAAATCTTAGCAATGTCAAACTATTTGCACTTTTATGTTTTAATAATTTTATTACGTTAGCATTACTAGATTAAAAATTAAAAAACTACCATATATATTCTTAAAACATTGCAATTTTACGTCCTAGTTGCCCCACTTATTGTTAATAGTTTGCATATAGCTTCTAAATTTTTAAAATTTTGACATAAATATCCCTAATTCTCTATTCGATTTTTATTATTTAGATTGTAGTTTTACATATCCTCAAAGGTATATCATTTTATATTTTACCCTTGTTGCATTTCAAATTTAACTTTTACCATTAATCTTGAATATTTCTCTCTCAAATTCTTAAACATTGAAAAAAAAAAACAAAACAATATTCTCTTATACTCTACATTTCTTCATTTATTATCTGTTTATCATTTAAATTGATTACTTTAAACAACTAGGAATTGCTAAATGAGACGCTCCAACATTTTTTTATGCGTATTTTTCATGTGTTTGGTTAATATATGATCAAATATTCGCCTTTTGAATATAACTATAGTGTTGAACATACTTTACAGGTGACAGTAAGTAATATTGGAATTTTTATCTTTCATATTACTATATATCTCAAAAATTTTAATTTAATTAAGTCCCCCACTGAAATAAATTTCTAGATTTGTCACTGTACTAACACATATGGAAACTTCTTTTTTAATTGTATTTATTCTGATTAAAAAAAATACGTTAAGGTAGCCTTATTTGCTGATTATGAGGATTCTATCTCTAAGCCCTATCAACAAATTAACGTTTCTCAGTGGCTACAAAAATAACAAAGATACTACCATTTTTTTTTTTTAAGAAGAACTAAGGGGGCGTTTGGTATGCAGTAATCTTAAGGATGAGAATGAGAATCTGCAATATTACCATGTTTGGTACAAGAATTATAATTTTTAGATTCCCAGAAAAGTGATTACTATGGGATTCACTTTCCCTCATTTTAAGGTAATTTGAATACCACTCAACATGGTATTATTCAAATTCCCAAGAATCTCAAAATCATGAGAATCTTATTATTATTATTATTATTATTATTATTATTATTATTATTATTATTATTATTATTACTATTATTATTACTATTATTACTATTATTACTACTATTACTACTATTATTACTATTATTACTATTATTATTATTACTATTATTATTATTATTATTATTATTATTACTATTACTATTATTACTATTATTATTATTATTATTTTTTTATTATGATTATGATTATGATTATTATATTTATTATTTTTTTATATTTATTATTATTATTATTATTATTATTATTATTATTAATATTACTAATAATAATAATAATAATAATATGATTATTTTGTTATTATTATTATTTTTTAATAATATTATTATTATTATTTTTTATTAATTTTATGGATATTCTTCTATGCGAACAACCAAACACAATAATGTAATATTCCTGGAAATTTGAAAAAGATTCATGTATGGTACCAAACACAGTAATGTATTATTCTTAAGAATCATATTACCCTCCATCACTTTCCTAGGAATATGATTCCTACTAATTCCCACATACCAAACGCCCCCTAACTAAAAGAGTACTTCACAACCGCCTTGACTTGGTGTTTTGGCTTAAGAGCATCTCCAATGGAGCTCTTTAAATTTTAACTAAATGGCTAGAAAGCTATTTTAGCTAGTAACTTTTTAGCGAGTCACTCCGACTATACTTTCTATTTTAGTGAAAAACATGAGATGACTAATATGATTGGAATTGGTCTAATTTTCAATAAACCGGTAACTGCAAAATCTTACACAACAGAATAAATATCTTTCTCCACAACTGCCAAACATTTGCCAAGTTTTGTTACAAATTCTAACTTCCAAATTACACACACCAGAATAAATTTCATTCACAATACAATTATCATTCTCACTGAAATACTATTTTTACTCAGAAAATGTCACTATATGATCTCCCGCTATAATGTTTTCTCTCATATAAATTTATTTTTTAACTTAAATTCTCAACTCGAATAAACGAAATGACGAGACCGAATCAGAAATATGAAAGTTCTCTTGTTGGAATGCTAGAGGCTCAGGAAGTCCTGAAAAAACTACGTCAACTTTCATTATAAGTTAAACTCAATTATCCTGATGTTATGTTCTTATGAGAGACTAGATTAGCCAAAGGTCGATTGAATAAATTCCAATCTATTCTTAAATTCAACGGGGGATTTAGAGTCTCCCATGGGTTTATGTTATTATGGATAGACTTTCAACAGAATCTGACCATAAATTATGTTATCATAGTTAATGACGGAGCTAGGGGGCAGAGGGGGGCCATGGCGCCCTAGCTCTTTTTTTTTTTTTTTTTTTGTAATATAATAGTTTTAATTTTAATATAATAGATATGTGTATAAATTAGATTTGTCTCTTCATAAATTAATAATTCTCTACATTTTATTAAGCCAACTATTTAGATTTTTTTAAAAATAAAATATTCAATTTTATTAAGCCTAAAAACATTAATATAATCTTGATAAAAAATACATTTAGCCCCTCCTACCAATAAATCCCGTCCCATTATGTTGAAGCGACTGTTATTTCCATCTCTCAATTCCACTGCTATATGAAGTTCTTCAATAATCATCTGTGTCACTTTTATGATATTAGAAATATTACATATAAACACATTTTTGTTGAGCTGAATTAGAATACGAAGTCGATTTCACTGGCTCAAACATGCCTATGGCTTTCCAAAAGAGGCGTCTGCGGCGACGACGAGGGTGACTGAAACTCGTCAACGGCTCCATAGTTTTCAACCTTTCCCTCCATCGACTGCGCCCATACTACTCCATAGAATCCTATGACGATCACAAAGGCTCCAATAATACTGCCAAGAAACGATGAAGGAAGATATGCTTGTTAAGTTTATGATCATGAGCAGTCACTTGGCTCCAATACTTCACAAGCACATGATTTAGGTTGTTCGTTGTTTCGCTTGTTGAAAATACAAGTCTTGTTCATTTCACCGATTTGATTTTTCAATTCTATTTTTGTTACAGTTAAAAGCTCTCAGAAACAGTCACATCTAATTTTTTAACTATAGTTAAAAACTCTCACATAAAATTACATCTTAACTCAAATTGGCGAACTGAACAAGGCCATAGAAACACATTCTAAGGAGAGATTTACCTTCCACTATACAACGCGTCGCCTAGAAAGAGGGTGCTCATGAAGGCAGCAATAGCAACCCCGACGGGCTTAAACATGACCGCGAAGACGGGTCCTTTCTTGTCTATGCACCATGTCATTATAGAATACGCTACCACACATCCAAAGAAAGCCTGTGAAAGTAGTTTTGCATGTTATAAGCATTCTTATAACTGAAGAACAATTTAGCATAATGTTTTTTTTTTTTTTTATTTCAACTTCTATGCTTACTGTATAGAGGACGGAGATGAGCTCAATATCGGGTGTGATTATCCATGCACTTGGATCTCTTTCCATAGCTAAAGCAAGTATTGCACATTGAAGGGTCCCAAAGAAGTATAAGAAGAAAAGTATGGTCCTCTGTGATGGGTATTCCTTGAGTATTGCTGCCTTAAGATGTAGTGAAAATAAAAATCAGTTCCGTGGAAAGAGAAGAAGATAAATGTGTATATTGTATATACATGCACACGCAAACTTAAGATTGAAATTGGGATGATTAATTTCATTAATGCTCCTTGATTTTGTATCCTATTTCAACATGTCTCCCGAACTTTAAAAAATATTCATTCGGCCCCTAAATCATGTACCCTAATTCGAAATGCCCCTTACATTCACAAAATTAGGAAAATGATCGTGCCGTGACACTATTTCTACTTTTATAGGCCCCCGTTCATTTCACCGATTCGAGTTTTGTTATAATAAAAAGTTTTCAGAAACAATCACATTTAACTTTTTTACTACAGTAAGAAACTCTCACATAAAGTCACATCTTAACTCGAATTAAAAACTCAAATCAACAAACTAAACATGCCTTATAATAAATAATCTATTGATTTTAAGTCACAAAATCAATAATTCAGGAGGTGTTTTGAACCATTTTTCATTCTTCAAGGGAAAAACTCAAAATTCAGGGGACATATGAAACGAGATACAAGGTTCAGGGGGCATCTATGATATCAAACGGAATCGGGATATACCTGAGCAGTGCTCCATATTGCAAAGCTTAAATTAGCACATGTAAGGAAAATGCCTCCGATGATCCAATTATTAGCCGCTGTCAAATTCATATGGGAAGATAGTTTTGGTGATGGAGAAGTGTTGAGAGTAGATTGAAATTGAGGGTCCACAATTGCGGGGCCTTTGTAAATGGTGACTATCAATGCTCCTGCGATTGACACTAGAGTGCCCATTATTTTGATCTGGCTTTTTGAGTTTCTCAGGTCTAATTTTTCCATTCTACACCCAAAAAAGACACACAATCTTGTAATAACTCTCCATATCTTTTGACTTTTCAAATATTTTAATAATTGGAGGTTCAGCAATTAAAAAATAAAAATAAAAGAAAAAATATCTGACCTGAAGAAAACAGCAAGCACAAAAGTGATGGCTGGAACTTGGTTGTTCAGAGCAGATGCAAGTGTTGGGGAACTGTAGTTAACACCAGTAAATAGACAACTCTGCATCACTGTCGTCCTTCGCCAAGGAAAGAAAAAACACATCAAGCTTAGAAAAATCATTTTCCAAAACGAAAAAAAAGAAAAGATTAACAAATAAAATAAGATGAAGGCATGAAGCAATCCCACTTGCAATGACATACCCAAAAAGACTGAGGAGGAAGAATTTACAAAGGAGAGAGAAACTTAGTGGTGGTCTCTTTTCCCTGTGAATTAGGAAGAAAGGTTATTAGACAATTTTCAATATAAAAAAGAAAAAAAAAAAACATGGGATTTATTCTTTTGTTGATCAACTCAAGAAAGACCTTTGGAAAATGAAAAATGGGAGGAAAATGAGAGTGCCAAGTGCATTGGAGTAGACATTGTAGACAAAGGGATTCATTCCTTTGGACATGGCTGCTTTGCAAAGTGTGTTCAAGCCAACAATAAGTGCTTCCACTATCACCATTCCCAAAAATGGCGCCAAACCTTTCAACCAAGAAGTCACCCCCATCAAGTCCTTGAGAATTGGAGGTGCTGTTGAAGAGCTTGTACCAATTTTTTTGCTAATCAAGAGCTTCTACCAAATTTATTGTCTCAATGGCCTTTTTTTTTTTATTTAAAAAAAAAAAGGAGAATGAGGTCATAAGCGTTTTTAAAAGGAGAATCGCCATAAAGCTCACTTGTTCAATAAAATCTAAAGGTATGGGTGCCCTTTAATTTTGGATCTATTCACATGTCTCTTGAATTTTAAATTAATCCTATTTAGGCTCCTTGGTTAGAATTATTTTAAAAAACAAACAGAAAAAGACGTGGTATGATTACGTGATCTTTATATTAAAAACAAAACAAAAAAAAGACCATTTGACCCCACTTATCTCTATCTTTTTCTATTTAATTAAATAGAAATTCTAATAAAAGAGTTAAGTGTGACTAAATCAAAATTTAAAAGCCAAAATGATTATTTTTAAAGTTTAAGAAACAAAGAAAGAATGATTTCAAAGTTCAGAGATACCAGTAAAATTAACTTAAATCTTGAATAAGAATTCCATGCTGAGATATGAGATTTATTTTCTTTATTTTTAAAATATAACAATCTGAATTTGCATTTTTAATTTCCATCTACTTCAAAAAAATATTTAATAAACTATTCAACAAATATGTTGGCCATTGCTTGCGAATCTGGTACTAAAATCTGCAAGTTGACTTGCTTGGCTTAGGCATATCATCACTTAATGTAGAAGTTTGATTATAAGACTCATCAGATCTGCGTGGGAAGTGTTCGGTGACGAGAATATCCAGAAAATACGGTTTGCTGTGGATATTTTGTATTTTTATCCCCTAAACTTGCGTCACTGAACTTTTTTTTTTTTTGTCAATTTTCATCTTGCACCCCCCTCATTATTGTGTTAAATCGATGACGAAAAATTACGTTTGAAGAAAAATTCAACATCCCCTAAATCTCAATCTCTTAAATCTCACAAAAAATTTCAATAAAATTAGTAAAATGAGACGCATTATAACTAATTTACAAATTAAGGATAAGTTGTCAAAATGATAAGTTTAAAGGCAAGTTGTCAAAACTATGTAAATTTAAGAGGTAAATGTACAAAATATTCTATTGTTATAGTTGTAAATAGTATGAAATCTCAGATATAATTTATTTTAAGTCTTTATTTATGAGGGTTTCGAAAGCTTGCTAATCAAAAGTTTGTACCAAATTGTTGGCTCATTGACCCTTTTCCAAAGGAGAATGGTCATACTTTTTTTTTTTTTTTTCCCCTCTCTCTTTTGGCCGCTATCTTAATAAAATATTAAACAAGAATCACGTTGTTTTTTTTCCCCCTTTTTTTAGGACTAAACGATGGCTTTCTTAATAAAACCTTAAATACGAATGTTGTTGTTGCGCTTTTTTCTTTTCTCCTTTTTTAAGGACCAAATGACTGCTTTCTTAATAAAATCTTAAATAAGAATCACGTTGCTCTTCTTTTTTTTTTTCCTTCTTTTTTTAGGACCAAAATCAAATGATCTGTATTCAATTGCAAATATCTTGAAGACGTGATAATATTAATAACTAGAGTTTACAAAACAATAACTAAAAATTGTACAAACATTTTAATAAACGAACATTTAACATTCTTGTTTTAAGATTTTTTTTTTTTTAAAGATATGTTGCCAAATAATATAAGGTTATGGCCACCATTCTCTTTCATAAAGCCAACGAACAAACAACTAGGAAAGGCACCGTGAGTGTGGCTGTACTATTTGTTTGCTCATTGCCAAGAAGAATGGTCATAAGCTTTTATAATTATATTAGTTGGACTCCCCACGCGCATGTTATTATTAATGCATATAAAATTTTAATATAAAATTTCAAAAAGGAAAAAAAAAAAAATAGGGCAAGAAGCCAAAAAAGGGTAAAAAAAAAAGGTCTAAAATGAATAAATAAATAAGTTTTAGTGTAAAAAGAACCAAAAAAGAAAAAGAAAAAAAGTAAAATTTTAATAGAAAAATAAAAAAAGAACAAAATGATGTAATAAATGAGGTATAAGACAAGAGAAACGAAAACGAAAAAGAAAATGAAATTTCAGAATAAAAATATATAAAAAAGATAAAAAATGACTAAATTGAAAAATAAATAAACTTTAAGGTAAAAGGCAAAAAAAAAAATAATAATAATAATAATAATAAAAGAAAGGACTTGAAAAAAAAAAAAAAAAAAAAAAAGCGGGGAGTGTCGTTTTGATTGAAATCCGTATGATTCCATAGGCTTTTGACACTTCTAATACATATATAGATTATTTGGCCACTTTCCTTAACAAAATCTTGAGGAAATGCTCAATTTATAAAAAAAAAATGCTCAATTAAATTTTTTTTTTTACGATGTAATAATAAATGGAATTTACAAAATATTAAATAAAATTTGAATACTCTTGTGATACGAGATCTATTTTCTTTATTTTTATTTTTAATTGATTTTGCTTTTTTTTTTTTGGATCAAAATCACTGCTCAATTAAAAAGTCTTTTGAAGATGTAATAATAAGTTGAATTTACTAAATATTAGGAGAAGCAGATCTAGGGTTGAGGGAACCAAGGAGAACCAATCTCATAGATGCGGTTTTGTAAGGGGAGAGGGAATCGCACTCGAAGGCGCTCGGAGGATGGGCTCGGCCTCGTGGCAAGTTGGCGGTGTGAAGAAGGGAACAGCTCTAGGGAGGGGACAAGCTGGACGCAGTGGGTGGGTCGGCGAGGGAGTGGGGTGTCGTGGGGGTGGGTGGTGGTGGCTGATGGGGAAAAGAGACTTGAGTTTTCTTTAGAGGACAAAGGGTTGAGATTCGATATTATTAGATTATTTTTGCTTTCTTTTTTTGAAAAATTGTTTGGATGGTTGAGATTAAAAGGTTTTTAAAAATCAATGGTTGAGATTAGTTTAGTTCATACAAAATATCGATTTTGCCCTTTTAGGAACCCCATGTGACTTACACATGTCTAATTTCGTCTAAAATTTAACAGCCGTTACCCAAATGTGCCTAATTGCAATAGTTAGACAATTTCAGGAGGTTGATTGCCAAAATTGAAAGTTGGGGGGTGCACTTCGCTAAACCACGATAAATTTAGAGAGTAAATGTGCTAAAAAAAACCCTAAAATAAAGATACAAAAAAATTTTCAATGTAAAAAAATAAATAAATGAACAGTAAATAGCGTTTTATTTCAAAGTAAATTTATGTGTTAGGTCTCAAACTTTTCCACACAAAAGAGGTGCACAAGCGAGCGGGTTAGCAGTTTCAGGCATGTGGGGGTTGGGTTTTTTTAAAGGCGGGTTGGGAGTTGGTGAAATCGCAAAAAGATGGTTTGGATCTAAACAAGTCCAATATTTTTTGAAAAAAAATGATAATAAAAAAGGTGCAGAAAGTAAAATTAAAAGCACCTTTTGGGTTTTTCTTTTAAAAAATAGAAGTTAATTTTTTTTATCTGTTTAAAGTGAGTAATATGAATAATGAGTTATTTAATCCTTTCATATTTCATAATATTTATTAAAAAAATCAATTCATCAAGCAATATATTAGATTATACACACGGTATAGTTGTGGACATTCAATCCCGTAAATACTTTTTATCCATACATACTTTTATAGTATGTTAATCTAATCTTTTTAGTATCTTTATAAGTAGGCAACTAATACTTAATAAGAGTAAAGGGTTAACTTTTTTGTTGTACCTAATTAATATTAAAATTCAATAACTAGTAAGTATAGTATGATTCTCAATTACCATTCATTTTTCATTTTACTTGTTAAAAAAGAGCGAAAAATCAACAAAATAATTACTTAGATCTTGACCTAATATTTAATACCCTTAAGTCCAAATATTATTTATAATTTATGGCTATGCATAGGCATAATGATAATTATTTACTCAATGAAAGCTAACAAATAAAATTAATAATACTTCAATATACAAACCCAACTTTATCTAACATTCATGTTTCATGCCTAATGCTCAAATCTTAAAAAATAATAAAAGAAAGTGGTGAGCAGGTCGGGTTGAACCCGCTGATTGGTGGATTGGTGACGTGGCATAATTTTAGCTGGCGGGTTAGGCTGCTGCGACACAATTGCATAAAATTTTTGCATCAAAGTGATATATGAGGCTTTTAAAACATATAGTGAATTTTTTACAATTTATATTAAAATATAGCAAAACATTTAAAATATTTTACAAATAGCAAAAATTAATATTATTGAAATAGTTATAATGTCATTTTGTAATAAGAAGATGAACATCACTAAAATAATTACTATGTAACTTTTGTTTTTCATAAATTATTATTTTTTTAAAAGGGATATACCCACCTCAAGAATTTCCATGAAGTATAATTCTTATAATTTGTTTTCACCTCATAATTTTTAGAAATAATTACGCCATAGGGCAAAATTACTAAGGTGGATTTGAGATTTAAAAGAAAAATTCATAATATTTTAAAAATGGCAAAAATAACATAATAATAATGTCACATTTTGTACTGTATGAATATATAGAAATTATTTTAATAATATTAATTTTTGTTGTTTTTCAATATCTGAAAACTTTATTATATTTCGATTTATATGTCTAAAAACTCCACCATTTTAATGAGGAAAAAAGAGAAAAATATGCCAAGACTTAAGATGAATTAAAATTAATAGGTCAATAGTTTACATAAGTTAATAAATATGCTAAATTACTGTTTTTGTCTATAACTTGTATGGTTATGAACCATAACTTGACAAGTTATTCACGGTTTTTATCTATAACTTGTCTGACTATGAACCATAACTTGACAAATTTATTTATAACTTATCTGATTATGAACCATAACTTAATAAGTTATTACCTATTAATTTTTATACCTAAAAATTAACTTATATACTTTCTTAAACTTTTCACATTGACCTATTTTCTATTATTTTTGTTTTAATGATTTAGTGCATTACTAATCAAAGGCCCAATCAAGAATTACACTCGTCAAAATGGGTCAGAAAAGTGCAATAGGGAATTGCAATAGAAATACGGTTCTTTACAGAAAAACAACAATTTCTAGGCTTGGATTGATTTATACAAGAGAAAACATAATTGGAGAAAGTGTCGGGTACGTGTCATCATATTATATTTGAATGTTAAATACACATTTAAGCTTTGTTTAGTTCGTCGAGTTTTTAATTTAAGTTAATATGTAATTTTATATAAAAATTTTTAATTATAACAAAAAAAATCATATATGATTTTTTGTGAGAGTTTTTAATTATAATAAAATTAAAATTAAAAACTCGAATCGGTAAAATAAATGAGACCAAAGTCTGTTTGGTTCATGAATTAGAACTATGAGATTAGAACTATTTTTTATTTACATGTGATTTTTGTGAGAAAAAATACTGTAGCAAACTATGAACCATAATTTGAATCAGAAAACGAATCCTCCAACCAAACAGGCTCTAATTAAGATACTAACCGGTGTCTGCCCAGCGGTTACTAATTGATGACTATAATGCTAGTCTTCTATTCAATAACAGCAAGTATCTAACTGCTAATAGTCGGTATCATGGCCGGCAACTGGCAATATCTTGGTAGAAACATTGTATCCAACGACAGCATAGCCATTGCCGGAATACCATAAAAATCACAAAAATCCACTAAAATCATAATAGATCCACAAAAAAGTCCACAAAGCCACGATTACAAAAATAAGTAATAAAAGAGAGATTCGATTGTCGATCTCCCCTGGTGGGGAGATCTAACCAGCATCAATAAGAGAGTTGCAGAAGGGAAATGAAAAATCATAAACAAAAAATTTGTTTGAGGGTAGGGGTGTAATTCGGCTTGGTAGGGTCGGGTTAAGCCAAAAAATTGAGCCGACCCGCTCAGTGCGGGTTAAGAAAATTTTAGACCGCAACACTCTCTTAAGCTCACAAACCCGCAACCTATCGGGTGATCTCGGGTAGGCTCGGGTTACTCGGGTTGGTGAAAATCAATTTTAATCTATGACTTCATACCTCTTTTAACAGTCTAAAAGCATAAAATTCATAAACAGTCCATAAGCATTAACATAACATCAAACATACTTCTTAATAGTCAATAAAGTTCAAAAATAAAATTAACAATACGTCAAATAAACAGTCCATATAGAGATAGTTCAGCAAAATAGATTTAGGGATTTAGAGTTACACACATAAATCGGGTCGGGTCGGGGCAAAGAGAGTTCAAAATGCCCGCCCCGCCCCCAACCCGCATAATGCGGGTTGGGACTATTTGAATCCGAATTTTTTTTATTAAAAAAAAAACCCTACGCTTTTGGGTTGGGTCGGGTCGAATCGGACGGGTTATTCGGGTTCAGACTCATTTCTTTAGTATTTTTAGTCATTTTTATTCTGTCATATCGTATAAAAGTTACAAGTTTTTCCCTACTAGCAAGTCGATCCACTTGTATTTTTTGTGATAATCGGCATAAATATCTCATATATAGAGATAATTATTTAAAATAATTCCTTTTAAACTTCACATTTAAGACATGTTTTTAATTTAATAATATTATTAATGGTCAATTTTATGATTATTGAAATAATATATTGAGATAATATCATTATGGATATGATTAAAGAAGTAGAGGAATGTCGTTACGATTAAGTATAAAATCAATTTAGGACATTCTATTATAATAAAAGAGTATTTAAAAAAACGAAATTTGAAAATTTTTATTTACTTTTAATTTTCTTTCACAATTAAATCTCATATTGAAAATTAGAACTTCACTAGAACAGAAACATTGGAATCAAATCAGAGTCAAATTAAGCCATTCTACAATTAAAAACGAAAAAAAGAATAAAAAAACTCAGATTTGTTCTACTGATCTGCACCAAACTCATGATAATCTGAACCAATCTCTCTCACAGCAAAACATCTACACCAATCTCTTCTTTTACATTGAATACCCACAATAATATTCTTACCCAAATGAAAACCAAAAAAGCCACAACAAGATGAAAACCACTTTTTTCACCCTTTAATGATTTGAATATAACAAAGTTTTTTAAGAATTCTTGAAGAATCGTAACAATCACCACATCTCAGAGCCCCCAAGCCCCGGAGCCCGGACCCATTGGCCGTTCAACGGCCCATCCACCAGAAGAACATTCAACTTAGAAGACAAATTTGAGGCCTACATCTGAAACAAAAAAAAAATGGTATTTTAATTTAGAGAAATAGTAAAAAATATGCCGATACGAAAAGTTTAAGAAAATATATATGTCAATTTTTAGTTATAAAAAGTAATAGGTCATAACTTATTAAGTTATGATTCATAATTAGATAAGTTATGGATAAACTTGTCAAGTTATGGTTCATAGCCAGACAAGTTATGGACAAAAACCGTGAATTATAAACAATAACTTGTCAAGTTATGGTTCATAACCACACAAATTATGGACAAAAATAATAATTTAACCTATTTATTAACTTATGTAAACTATTAACCTATTAATTTTAATTCATCTCAAATCTTAACCTATTTTACTCTTTCTCCCTTTAATTTATTTTGTGTTAGTTAATTAAACTGTATTTTAGACATTTGATGTTGAAAAAAGTCAAGATATCAAAATGATTGTGTTTTAAAATCTAAAAATATCATTTTAATATTATAAAAAATACAAAATATCAAACTCAATATTTTATTATAATGATTTGATCTCTTGCAGTTATTTATAGACACGTGTAAATCTCGGTTTCTTGCATAATGGACATGTAATTAAAATATTTCTTGCATAATGGACATGTAATTAAAATATTATAAAAACCCGATGCCTTCCATTTGGACTATGTCACCCGACCCGAATCTGTCTTTCTGATTTTCTTATGGACTATGTCACCCGACCCGAATCCGTCTTTCTGATTTTCTTCCTCTTTCCGAGATTAATCACCCGCGGTCTCTCTTTCTCGGATTAGGGCTCTGAAATCCCCAAATCCTTTCTTTGTTCCAATCCATTTTCTCCACTAATATATGTCAGTACAGTTTCAGAGAATTCTGTATTTATCTTCATTCAAATCATTTTTTACACCGAGAAGATGGCTGAGCCCGATTTCGAGGATTTTTTGGAGAAGAAACGGGTCAGAAACCCTCTTGTACCAGTAGGTGAGTTCCCATTTCCACTATTTTCAAATTTTCATTTTTATCTTCTCCGAAAGTTTATTCTTTTGCATTTGTAGTTTTGTTTTGTTTTTGTAGGTTTTCTGTTTCATTCATGTGCGTATGCCCAAGTAAAGTTTTAATTTTGAGGAAATTTCTGTAATACATAGGTTAAAGCCCATCGGCTTTGAGATTTATAGTGGGGTTGAGTTAATTTGCTTATAGAAGGGAAATTTTGTATGGGTTGTGAAGATTCCTAGTGAACATGACAGAATATGTAATTATGCCTCTTTCATTTCGTTTGTTTGAGTTGAGAACTTGAGTTAAAAATAAATTTATGTGAGAGAAAACACTCTTAACAGAAAAAGTTGAATTTAAATTTTTGTAAGAAAAAATTCTACAGTAAAAACTTCAGTTGTGATTCGAACTAGTGAAACGAATAGAGTTTTAGACTTTTTTTTTTCCTTCTTCTTTTGAAATGCGAGTTTAGGAGTTTGCCGAGATATTATTATTTGAGTTGGATTGAAAAAGTTTTAAGTTTTGGGACAAAGAACCAAGAAGTGGCTTAGAGTGTTGCTACTTTCTTGTTCTTAAAGTTGTAAATAGGCTTGAGGATGGTTTGTATACTTTACATCTTGATATAGGTTGTTGGCTGGTAAAGAGATGCGGTAAAGTACTTTCGTCTGGACTTTATATGGATATTGTAATTGAAAAAGTTTGTATTCATTTCGGGTTTGATTTGTTTGAAATAGTTTTCTTATAGAAATTCAGGTTTAGCATAGTACCAATGTGGCCTTTGAAGTTGTGAAGCAAGGCAATAAGATTTTGATGTTTGTGAAGTTTGAATGAAACTGGATTATCGAAAATGTTCCAGCTACCAGCAAGGTTGCTAACCCAACATTATCTGCAGAGCAAGGTTTTAAAAGGCGAAATCGGGCCTTGAGGCGTTTTGCCTTTACGAGGCGAGGCGTAAGCCTCAAGGCGCTTTGAGGCGTAAGCCTCAAAAAATGCCTATAAAAAATTTAGGAAAAAAAAAATAATACTAACAAAAACTAAATCCATACTTAATAATCATTAAAAACAAGAAATTTAACCAAACATCCACATAAAAAGAAGTCTGTTTCACTACTAGAAGCGTAAAAAAAACTAAATAATTATCAAATCCTAATATCATAAGGTTCATAATGCACTTCTAAAAGCCTAATCTCCGAACCCATCAATTATGATCACTACTAAGAGAAGAAGAAGAGTGTTTGCCTGTGCGAGGAAGAAGAAGGAGGAGGAGGAGGAGAGACGGCTGTGCAAGTGGCTTGCTGCTTCTTTTGTTATTAGGGTTTTTTCTTAGTCATTAAGTGCCTGGGTACTTTGGGCTTTTTAAAACTTTTGGACCAGCATGTTAAAATAACCCACCAGAAGACCCTTTGCAGAGAGGCGGACGCCTCACTAACCACCTGAGGCGCCGCTCAAAGGTGTGCGCCTCAGGTGGCTGAGGCGCACGCCTCGACACCTACCTTGTAAGGCGTAGGAGTTGAGGCGCTTTTCCAGCGCCTCGCCATGAGGCGCGCCTCAAGGCGTGCGCCTCTGGTGCTTTTTAAAACCATGCTGCAGAGTACATGGGAAGTTTTGGTTTGGAATTGGAAAAGCTGGGAGTTAGAGATACTTTGGGTTTTAGATTTCGGAGTAGCTTTTCTATCATGAGCGAAGAGGTCGAGTTAAGATTTAAATGTTAGTTGGAAAGGGAGTGCAAATGAGCATCAAGTCAATCAAGCAATTCCTAAAAATCTTCATATTTTTTGGTTTAGGATCTTCATAACTCTTGTTAGAGACTTAGAGTGGCTTTTTTTTGTCCAGTCAATCCTGCATTGCTTTAGATAAAATTACAAGTTTTCTACCGCTCTGGTGTCAGGGTAACCCAAAAGTTAGGAAATTTGGGCTGCTATATTGATTTACCATGCACAATTAGATGATTTAATATCATAAACTTGGACAATTTTTCAGGTTTATTCTAACTAAGCCATTACCACACCTCCATTCCTAACCTTATTTAAAGACAATACCTCGTGTCTAATTTTAGATCGAATTTGACACCGATCGATAGAAGTTTTGCAGGATTGGCAATATTAAGTATTACTTTTGTAATTCATGAGGCAGTACTGTAAGGTAGAACTTTGTAAACTTTTGTAATTTATGCTTTCTAATGGTAGCGATGCTATGAAAATTTTGTAAACTTTGAAAGACAAATAAGTTGGTCTTATGCTTCTTTGAAGCTAACATTTTACGACCTTACACATTCCTTTAGTTGCCATCTTATCTTATAAAAATTGTGTTGTAATCTTTTTTGCAATAGAAAAAGGGTTATAGAGTAGAAAATTAGAGAACGGCAGACCTAGATAACCCAGGTAGGTGTAGCTCCCTACGTAGTATATGAATCCCTCTTGAAGTGGATTGCTCATATAACCTGACCACCACGGCATCCCCCAACTCGAGCCCACAACTTCTTACATGGGGGGACAAGTGGGCTTACCACCCCGTCGAAGCTCTCGGTGGTAATTTACGTTCTAATCAAATTTGTAATTTGGCTGATTCATTGATGTGAATGTTTCAGGTGCTCTTTTGACTGCGGGAGTTTTAACGGCTGGTTTGATCAGCTTCAGGCAAGGGAATTCTCAGTTGGGTCAGATGCTAATGAGAGCTCGTGTGGTCGTCCAAGGTGCAACCGTCGCGCTTATGGTCGGCACTGCTTACTACTATGGAGACAATCCTTGGCAATCAAAGTAGAGTAGAGAATTCTCATTGCGTATTCGGAAGTCAACATAATCAAAATATGTGATTTTTGTCAGTGAACGACCGTGTTTTTGTCTCAAGCAATATTCAATATTATTTTTGCACTTTTCTTCTTTAGAAAAGGTATATAAATACTTCAGTCTTTGTACTATTATATATTGAACCACCGTTGACAACTCAATAAATCAACAATTTTCAACGAGGAACGCTTCCGTTTAGTGAGGTTTTTATTATTATTATCATTATTATTTTTTACTCCTTCGTGTTTTGTTTGCTGTTGATTTTTTGCTAAGCCTTGTAAGAGGCTCTTTTTTTTTTTTTTGGGTTCCCTGTTTTATTTTTCTATCTCATATAAGTTTTGAAGGAAAAATATGATGTAATTTTGTTTCTCTAACAATTAATATTGCACCATTAGGGCCGTGATCATATTTTTGGCGTGCATATGTTTTTACTTCATATTTTAAAGATGAATGAGCTTATAATGTATGACTTGTATTCTTTTATTTGTTGATATGAAGAAAAAAAAAAGTTGATATTGAAATGAATGAGAATGAGAATGAGGTGGTGGATAATGCTCAAACTAAGGAAGGAGATGATATGCCAATGGACACTAATGAGAAACAACCGGTGTAAAGGCAAAAAAAACCTATTTATCGATGACCACTCGTAATTCTTAAGTGAATTACTTTGAAAATTAGTTATAATCTACTTAGAAGTCTAGGTGTGAAGCTCAAACTGCTTAACATACCGTCCAAGCCACTCGCCAAAAAAAGGGTCTAAACCGCTTAAATTTTAGACAGTCGTGGATTGCATTTTTCACAAACTGCCGTATACTCAAACCGTTCATATCGCATGCCGTGCACCCCTAACTACCCTTGGATTTGAATCCGAGATCATGATTCAATAAATTGAAAACTACTCAGCATCACTAATTGCATATTTAGTATAGGGTTTTTACTATAGTGTTTTCTTTTTCTCAAAAATTTAAATTTTAACCCATGAATTTAGAACCCATAAACCAAATAATCTACAAATATCAGCAAATTCTTTTTGTCTTGATGGGAATTTAATTTTATAAATACAAAGAGGTGGGCCTCATATGGTGAGACTCATGTAGGGTCTACTTTTGTATCTGATGGAGATAAATCTCTATTGGGAAATCAAAGCTGCTCCACAAATACTAATTAAGCCAGCATCATTTAGCTAAAATCGTAATTTCAACCCAAAATTGCACACAACATTTTGGGTTGAGCAACTCTCCAATTTCCACTAGATTTTTCTTTGCATCCGAGCCATTATTTAGTGTTCAGATCATTGCCATTCGATTGGAATTAGAAATTTCCTCGCTAGTGGGAGAAGAGAAAAGAAGAAAGGGACAACCAATCAGAAAGTTCTTCATCAGAAATTTTGTTGTATGTGTAAATAGCCCTTATAAATATACACACGTACATATATATATATATATATATATATATGAGCAACCTCTGTTTCTTTCTGTAATTTCTCGGTGAGAATTTATGACAGAATATGAACAATATTCTATTGGTAGAAAATGTTGTTTTGAATTGCTTGATGTGCATAAAATATCCACTACAATGTCATATTTTTTTAATGCGATAATGATAACCTTTACTCTAGCAATAAAGTACTTTCCTTTTAGTCTAGCATATAGACCACCCTTTTCAGCCAAACAAACCGACCAAAAAAAGAATCCCAAAATTACTCCAAATTTTAAGTAATGTTACGCATTATAAATACGAGGCTCAAACCAATATAGAATCATAAAAAATATACCAACCCATATGAGCCTCAAACTTGTGAGAAACCATCCTTTTTTTTTTCCGAGGGTAATAATTGTTACACCACCTCCACATTTTATGGCATGTTTTGAAAAATAAAAGTTAATCCTATGTATTTTTTCATTTTTATCTTAAAATGGGAGTGTGAATGATTAGACCTACTTAAATTTGGGATTGAAAAATAAGATTGACAATCCTAACTCCCCTTAAAATTGCGACTCTCATTCCTGATATTAACATTAAATCACTATCATACCCCTAATTTACTTATAAATATAAAATTAAAATTAAAATTCAAAAATAATAATTACAACCTATATTTATTATTCATTTGCCTAATATTACAATATTAGCCTAATTATTTTTAACTTTAGTATAATAAATATGTACTTTGTTTTGTTTAATAAATTAAGAATATATTTTAATTTTTTAACACTAGTTTTTGTTTTTATTTATTTTATTAAAAATTTGACAATTTATTTTTATATTTTATATAATTATTCAATTTATATTTATTATTTTATTACCCTATTATTATACTAAATATTTTAATTATGATTAATTGCAATATAATATTTACATAATTTATTTTTTAAATTAAAAATATAAAATCGACTTAAAAGGGTATTAGTACTTTTGCACTAGTTTATTCTGATTTTGAGTATAAATAAACGTATGAATTGAATTTAGAATACTCTGATTTTGAATTATGTCACTAAGTAAATAATTTATTCTGACTCAAATTTCAACTCACTATGAATCTTACCCACTCTAATTCATTCTTATTTTGATTATGCATAGATAAACATGTCATTGTCATTGCCATATAGGACATCATTTATAGGATCAAGTATCTATCTACCAACAAAACTAAAGCGCAATCCGTTTCCACTTTAGTTAATTGTGCAAAATGTTTCGCCTGTTTCTTTTTTCTTTATTTTTTACTTTTTTATTTTTAATTTTTTAGGTTTCTTTTTATTCTTTCACTGTGTAATTGTTTATCTTTTTTCTTTTTGTCTTTGTTTTTTTTATTTCTTTATTCTTCCTCTCTCTAACGGTTTTGTATAACCATTATTTCAAAAGATGTGATAAGCTTTTTTGAGATTTCCTTTCTTTTGTTGCCTTTTTCCTTTTGTTGTTTTTTTTTTTTTTACTTTATTTCTTTTTTTTCCCTTTTTTTCCAATAATTTCTATAACCATCTTTTTAATTTTTTAAAGAACGAAGCTTACATTTAGAGTATCCTAGCTTGTTATCGTTTAGAGTATGTTTAATATATTAGTTTTTTATAAGTTTAAACTTATAAATTTAATTTCACAACACTATTTTTCTTTTATAAAAGATTTAAATTTTAAAAATTATAATTAAAACTATTAATTTTAAATTTTAATTTAAACTCATATATTAAACGCGCACGTGCGTTTAATTCCTTAAGAAAATGGTCGTTGTGGAACAAGTTTATCCTGACATTACATGTCAGATGACGTGGAAGCCAAATCCCATATCCAGCTTACTTCAGTCCAACGGCTGTTCCGATACGAGGAGATGAATCTCCTCAAATTTCGTGCCATCTCACTCCAACTAGTGGCTTATTTCCACCAATCAACTCTCACCGGACACGTGTCCACTTGTTCCCAAACGACCTCCATATATACTTGGGCCCCATTCAAAATAAATTTTGGCCCAATTCCAACGTACGACACAATTTCCCTCCACAAATCCAACCCACCTGGGCCCGCCAATCTCATACCAATCCCCATTATCAAACCCCAAAAGTCTATAAAGGAAACTTCACATTTTGATAATCTCATGCGAATTTGAGGAATTTGTTTGAGTTTCTTGAGAAAGTTGTACATATTTCAGATGGGTTTTGTTGGTCCATGCAGAAAATTGTGCTGTGAATACAAGAACGACAGAGTTTTTGCAAATGGAGGTGTCGTTTTAAAGAGGAAAGGAAAGCTGAAAATGAAGTTGCATAGGCTTCAGAGGATCATCCCCGGTGGGCAAGGGCTGAAACCAGACCAGCTCATGGTCCACACGGCTGATTACATTCTACATTTGAGGCTTCAACTTTGTGTACTTGAAGCTCTTCTTAAACTACATGACACATAGCTTATATATATATAT